AATTGTTTAACTTCAGCGCCTATATAGTATAAAAGTACAAACATTGTTTTTTTATAATTTTAAGTATATAGTACCTACATATATATAGTATTCCCTATTTGGGAATTTATGATCTAAAATACCTATATATTGTTATAAAACAAAATTACTAATAAACATTTTTATGCAAATATTAACAATTGATAAACACTTATTCATATTAAGTATTTACACATCCTGGTACACATACATAAAATATACGAGTATATAATGTATACTTTTTTAAATCATAGGGTTAGGGTAATTGCTTAATTAAACAACATTTTTAAGTTTTTCATTTTTTTGAATAATGATATACATTTTTATATTTATATTCTGGAGTAAAATTTTTTTTCTAATAATTCAATAAATAAAAATCAAAAGTCGAATGGTACGGAGATACCCCCTTTAAATGTTAGTCAACTACTTTTCTCACCAAAACTTTAAATATTAATAACTAAGGCCCGGATTTATATGCATTTGCAAGTTTTTCCTGAATAGTCCAAAAAGTAGTTAAGTAAGCTAAAAATTTGATTTGTAGTCAATAGATCCTAAATTTAAAGTTTTATTATGCATATTTTGTCATTTTTGACATGTACTGTATACTTCTGTATTTTACGATTTTTTATTTCATATATACGGTTTTTAAATACATAATAATATGTAATATTTTGCTTATTTTAATTAAAATAACGTATTTATAATATTTATAGTCAATATAATTTGACAGTCATTTTCTTATCTTATCTGAGACCTATCGAGACAAGTAGTAATCTGTTCATCAATAGATTTTAGTTAATCATACATTCGTCGTGTTTGTCGTAATCTGTGTGAGCATAACTTTTATTTGATTTTATTTATTTAATAAAAGACTTTATTTTAATCGATTTTTCTTGCATACTTTCACATATTTGAATGATAATCAGTGTATAAATGAATGCATATTTAGTACGTTTTTAGTGCATATAATTCCCGGCCCTACATTTAACATTAATTTATTAACTACTTACTGGTGCAATTTCAATTTTTATGTTTTGATGTTTTCAGAAAATATCTGCTCCAGAATATGAATATAAAATTATTTTTTTTCATTCTAAAAAGTAATAGAAATTTAAATATTGTAACAATAAAAAGTGTTTCGACTTTCGATTGTAAATTAGATAAAAGAATCACCTGGTATGGCCCGAATAGATATATACATAAGTAGAAATGATAAGTATTTAGTATTTACTTCTTTGATAATTATTATAAATAATAGCGATGTATAAAACAGACCATTAAATCAATTTAAATAATAATTATTATTATTATGAATTATTTATGTAGTAATATTTATCAATTGTAGTTAAACTAAGTTTTTTTCACCCTGATAATAGTGATAGACTTCCTTCTATTTTTTTTTATATATATATATACCTGTAATTATTATCATTTGGTTGATAGAGGTTGGAGGCAATTTCAAAAGGTTGTTGAAAAAGTACTTACTTCTATAGTCTTAAATTGATAGACCTTATAGGTATGATGTATAGTTAGTTGTAGGTTTCTACTTAAAATTTGAAAAACATTAAAAATTATACCCCGTATTAGGATAAAATTAAATTGAGTCAGATTTTCAGGTGTTTATTATCTTAATATTTACACATTTATTCGTTCGAAATATCAGCTTTTTAAAGGTATAAAAATACTTCATGAACACAATTAAATATGAATGTAAAATCATAGTATGTCAAGTGAAAAGTAAAAAACAATTTTAAATTTTATAGGCTTACATTTATATTTCAAAAAAATATTGAAAGAATTGGTTTAATGGAGAACTTACAGTAAAAACTTAAGTTTTTTTTTTTCAATTATTCTCTAGTAATATGGACAATCTAAGATAGTTGCTTTAAACACAACGAAACGTGTGACAAAAAATAAAAACTTTGTTGGTTGAGTAACACTTATAGAAGGGCGAGAAGAAAGCAACCAAAGAATATTTGTGATAATTTAATGTTACTATTGAATTAATGTCCGCAGAGGCGGCTTCAGGACTACTTATACTTCATATTATAAATAATTTATACAAGGTACATACCACCTTTTACTATACACTTGTACGTGTCTAAAACAATCTATAGTTTTTAATTTTTATAATTTTGTTTTCAACAATATACAGCCCCTCTCCCTTGTTGGCCCACATGACCACATATAAAGTTCAGTCTAAACTATTTTTAATCAATTAATATGAACAGAAAATAGTAGATATTTTAAAAACACTTATAAATGGAAATGTATATTACGCTTCGTCATTAAATTTTCACATTAGTCCTTATAAATCTTAAGTATGGTCCAGAATAGATTGTAACATATAGGTTAGGTTAGGTTTATATTTATTTTATAATCAAAATTAGCATAAATTAAATTTTTAAGTTGAAGTTTGCACTATGATTTCTCATACCTTTTTTATTTATAAATTATAATACTAATACTTTTATTTATAATCGTTCGTTTATGATATTGAATTGTATATTCTGTGACGATTAGGTATTATTTATTTACACAGGTCTTATTGACGTGTAATCATGACTTACTATCGTTATCCAAAGCAAATCATTTATTTAAGTTTTACGTGAATCTTAAAAACATATTTTTTAAATCGTCGGAACAAATACCATTAAATGGTATGTACCACGATTAGAAACTAAACTGCAATAGTGTATGTATCTATCAGTTTACTTTGAATCCCTAACATAGTAGCCTAATTATTTTTTTGATAATTTGTTTAATATACCATATACCCAACCTATCTATAGATGTATTTCATCAAGTGTTCAATGATAAATTTCCAAATGATAATAAGCAACGTAAAAATTAAAATTACAAAATATATTATAATATAATATGTACTCATAATTCAAACTAGGTCTTAACATAATTACCTAATCATGATTTATAAAACTGATTATTAAATATTTAAACGGCTTTTTGTTTTAATACTCTGTTAGTACTTTGTTGTATACTGAGGTATACAATATATTATATATATTTTTTTTTTTGTGAAAGATTAGCCCCCATCGATTATCACCAATGGTAAAACAAGCATTTGTCAAGTAACAATAGAACTAAAATATTTTTATAAAATTGTAATACCTACGTTGGTATATTGTGCTAAAAAATATATATAAATTTCAATCACGATGTGAGATGGTTGTTTCCTAAAACAAGCATAATGGAATTTAATACAGTAATAAGTAAATACAAGCACTAGTGGTCTATTCTTTTTTATGATCTCTTCTTACTAATGTATACTTATTATTAAAAAAAAAATGTTTGTGTGATCATACTTTAAACCATAAAGTTGAGAATGCGCATTAATAATTTAAATAGTTAATAATAATATATAAAATATAGATACCTAGCTAATACATGAAAAATGTAAACTCTGTTGATGTTATAGTACACTTATTACAATCATAACTTACTACTTTGCTTAAATAAAATATTGTAATAAAAGAATATTTATCATTTGTATCAACATTAGATTATTATTTAAAATATAATATAAAAAGGATGTTTTTATATATCTTATTAATTTGAACCATTTGTAATTGTGTCTTGAATTATTAATATTACAATTGTACATAGTCGATATAAATTGAGGTACTAAAATATGATTTTATACAAAGAAATTTAACTTAAAAACATCATTAGACATCAGTCATCACTCATAAATTATTGCTGATACTTATACACCTCAACATATTTATGATGTACAATAAATAAGTTAACATTTTTTTTAAATATCAAAATAGTATATACCGGGTAAAGTATTTATTTACTTGTAAGCATATTTATCAATTTAATAATAACGTATTTTCTTTAAATCTAAACCTATAAAGTTCAAAACTTGCGGAGTCAATATTTTGTCAGTAACTCCTCAATTCTTAATATTGTATGTTACCTATTTATCATAATAAATATTAACTATATTAGTTTAGTAAAAATTATCTAGAAAAAAAATGGATTATAAGTTACTTAGATGAAATATATAAAATATTTAACTAGATAATGCAGAACACTGTTAATTACAATACTTAAAATGGTGTAAAAAATGTTAAGTTTATAAAAAACATTGAATTCTACATTTGTCTACTAAATAAAAAAAATAGTTCAAGAATAAATTTTGTTATCTCTGCTAAGGTGTATTGCATTCAATAAAAAAATGTTAATTAATTTTAATAGCTGGCTAATACAACCAGCCAACTTTAAATAACAATTTAAAAATAAACAATAAATAATAGAAACTTGGCATTTCATTTTTATATATATTTATTGTAATGGAATTTTAATTTCATATACAATATTCAATTAAATCAAATTGAAAACATGCAAATTTTTGGAGCACTTAAACTAAACCACAGGGAGCTAGCTAACAAAAAAAAATTTAACAACTAAGAACTTTCAAGTTGCACTTGGTATCTAAAACTAAAACTTAATTTAATAAAATACATTTAAAAATACTTACCAGTATATTAAATTCACGCAACAGACGATATCAATATAAAATAAATGGCGATAACTGACTTAACGATTATAAATCAATAGAGAATAATTATTAATTCATTTTTAGTTCATTAGAAATGCCTACTTTAAGTTTAACTATTATGTACAATAAAAATAAATAAATTGACAATATTGTGATTTAAAGAATTAAATTTTAATATACACTAAATAATTTAATTGGATTAATGAGTAACTTTCATTTGTATTTAGTTATTGGCCTATTAAATAACCTATATATAGGTTTAACAAAAAATCAAATTTATATACAGTATGATGCTTGGACATAATTACGATAAAATTCATTTAAAAAAAAAAATTAAAATAACAAAGTATTCTTCATTTATGATTATATAATAACCAACATGTAGGTAACAATACTTAATTGTTGATTTAATTTAGTAATCAGCTTCTCTCTTACAAATAAACACAATCACAATGTGTATTTTATAGCTTATAATAGTAGTTTATTATTAATAAGAATAAGAATGATTAGAAATAGTACGAGGAGCATAAGTGAACAAATGTCACCAGTGATTGATGATCCAGTCAAATAATAATACGTTCAGTTGCGCCTGTAAGGATGGTATGGTTGTGCTTGGTTTGAATTATAATTATTCGCTCTGGTTGGTCCTGGCGCGTTATTGTACGTCGCCGCCGGTACTCCGGCGGAAACGACTGGCGTCACTACTGGGGCCACTAAATTATAGAAAGTTGACAATTTAAAAACCTAATTTTCCATTTAAATTTTTTCTTTTGAAAAAATTGAACATTAAATAGATAGAAAAGAATAGGCAACACTGCAAGTAAGAAAAATTATGTATATATATATATAAAAAAAAATGGCCGACTTTCATAACTGAATGACATTTACTAGAGATTGTTGATGGAGACAGTAGAACAGAATTATTATTTCCAGTTCAGGTAAATAAGTATGGGAAAACACATTTACTTACAACTCGCAATGTCGCCCAAAAAATTAGGAGGGGAATAATTAATAATGGACACTCAATTTGTTTGTATTGTTTTTTTTAATATTTAAACAATTATTATTATTATTATTATTATTATATTATTTTGTTTTAAATCACGCCAAAAGCGACCTTCTACATCATTGAAAAAACACTAACTGACAATAAATAATAGGATTTTTTTCAAAATAAAAATTGTTACAGGCTAAAGTATTAATAATAAAGCTCAAATTTGTTTTTTTTTTTCACAAAATAATTAAACATTCATAAATAATAAATAAAACGAGAAATATATAAATAAATATCTATATAAATATTTCATAGCTTTTGTCACAGGTTAAAAAAGTTCTCAATCGTGTCCTATCCGTCGAATATATAAAATGTCTTGATAAAAAAAAATTCAATAATTAAAACAAATTCTTATTTAAGACCATAACAACTGTAAACCTAGACTTATTTTGTACAAAAAATATGCTTATAACTCATCACATTTAAGTCGTTAATTCTTTAAAAATATAGTTTTGGTAAAAATCATTTTTTGAGAATAATGTTCTCAAAAAATAAAAATTATTATTACTAAGAAAATGTCATCCTATAAGTAAATACAGATAATATTACTTTTAAGTTTTATCCACTAATTGTGTAATCTTAAGTTTATTATTAAATTTTAAAAATAGTGACTTTATAAAAAAAACCAGTAACTTACTAGGACGAGCTTCTGTTATATATAATATATAAATATATATATATTTAAAAAAAAAAAATGACAAACAGTCAGGACAAGATATTTAAAGTAACCTTGACTTATTCATTAAATAATTCAACTTCTACTTAAAAATGAAAACAACACTTATTTTTTAAACGATTCGAGAATCTTCCTTAAGCCTGTATGTACATTAAAATTTTTTTACCAATTAATCAGTCCAGTGGTTTTTTAGCTATCTATTACAATGTGATTTTTAAAAGTAATTTTATAAACCTAAGAGCTTGAAATTTACCCGAATTTTGTTAATATTATTTATATTCCTTAACCCGATTCCCTTCACACTAAGTTATAAAATAATTATATTCGAAATATTTTAGATGTACTGCCTAGTCTCACTTTTGGTTTCACCTTAAAAAAACATGGTGCCGTTACTTTTTTTTTTTACTTAAGACCAAAGAAAAATAAACAAACTATGATAACAATTGTCATATGTCTAAAAGAAAAAAAACAGGCTAAATTAAATATATAATAATAATAAAAAAAAAACCATTAGAATCTAGGGAAATAATAATTATTATGCTAAGTTCCATTTGTTATTCGAGTATAAGTTAAATAGTATTATGTAGTAATTATAAATAGATTGTATTAATATAGATATTTAATATATAATTCTATTATATACGTAAGAATTACAAATATTAATCGATACTATAATATTCCTAAATTTTTCTTTTTTTATAAGTTATATTATTTTTAATTGTTTCGTTATTATAATAATTGTGTTACCCAAACCAGTGAATATTGAGAGAAGTGTTAATTGAATTCAATCAGTCATGAAGTGGGCCATTCTTTAAAGTCAAATGGCTTACCATACCCACCGCCAGACCCGAGGCCAGCGGCTGTGCCGTCCGCCCCTCTATAAGTTTGGCCTGCACCATAGCTGGTCGAATCCTAAAAATATAATTTACTCCAATATTATCCCATAACAAAAAGTAAAACTATGTAACTATTATAATTGCTATCACTACATTTACTATTATTACTACAACTAACTACCATTATTATGTATTACAAATAATGAAGAAAAAAACAATAATTATCATAATAATAATAATAAATTAAATGATAACAACTTTAAATTAAATTTAGTATTATCTATCTGCCTTTAAAAATAATGATTCTTCAGAGATGTAAAATTTGTATTTCTTTAAACCAAATAAGTGACATGTAAATTTTATTAGATATTATATAGATATTAAATAGGTACATATTAATAGAAATAATATAAATATTTGTAATTAATAGAGTACTTAATCAGTAAAATATAATTTAATTTAAATCTAATAACATCCAGTATAAGCATAATTTTAAAAGGCAGTATAAGCTTAATTTAATTAGAACAAGTGCAAATTGTACGGCCTTTATTTTTATAACAATTTATTAGTAATTAAGGGCCATGGATATAAATATTAAAATTTAAAATTTAATTTATATTTAGTAACAAAACTCAACACAAAAATTCTAAATAAAAATTGATTTATAATAATTTATTAATATCATAAATAATAACAATTATATATTTTACTGTAATTATTGTAAATTAAGAATTGAAAATGTTAAAATAGTTATGTTATTAATGATAAGGGAAAAAAAATATTTTTCAGATAAAATTTCAAAAATTTCTAATTAATAAAATTAATTAATTTTTAATGATGGAGGTAATAAAAATACTTAGAAGTAAAGTAAAATTAAATTATGAAATAATCTTTAATCCTTTTACTTATTAATAAAATTAAACAATACAAAGAAAAATATTTATTTGATATAAGTTAACTTAAAATAAATTACTTTGAATGAATATCAAAAGTATTTCAAATAAAAATCATAATTATTTGTAAACAATGCATATGATAAAAATAAATATTATAAACAAAGATCAATATTATAAGTAATGTATTTAAAATTATATTATACCAATTAGTAGTACTAACATAATACACTAGTACACATCAAGATCATTCAGTAATTAATTATTTAATAACAAAAACTTAGTTTATAATTATTTCAACAACATTATACACAACAACAATTTAATTTGTATATTAGAGAAATATTCTTGTAATCGAATCTACTATTAAAAAAAAACAATTTTTGTCATGTTTTTAAACCACCTATCCAATTATAAGTTTTAAATTGCATGTATTATACAATATGTCACAAAACTAATACATCTTAGATTTAATAAATATGATTATAATAGTGGAGGAATAATCTAAGATGAACTATTATCCATATAATAACTTAAAAACAAAAGTAATAATAATATATTGATTTAATATGAAAATCATAGTTTATTTAATTTTAAGTATCTTCAATTGTACAATCTAAATGTTAATTATATTTGCCACATTTAATTGTCATATTACTCTTATTATTACAATAAATGTATTCAGTATTCTATACAATTTGATCATAAATTAATAAAATATGATTTCAATATTATACAATAGATTTAAACTCATCATTCAATAATTAAATTTTAAAAAAAGTGTTAAATATAACTAACATTTACCAAGACATAAAAGATATACAATCAAATCACTAAAAAGAGATAGCTTAATAACTATCTAATAAAAAAATATAATTTTGAACGATTAAAAATATATTTTGCAACTAACGCTTAGCAAGAATTAATTTAATAATCATATTAAATTTTTAAATTTATCTTGCACATTTAATTAGTTCAAAAAAACATTTAGAATTTTATATTTTAAAATTTTTTTTTAAGAAATTCAGCGGTTACTTTTTAATAATCAAATGTTTTATGTTGGATTCATTATATTTTAACCTTAAAAGCATAAATGATTTAAAAAACCATACAATTTACATTGCCCTCTATATTTAGTTTAATAAATCCTATTAAAAAAAAAAAAAAAATAAATAAATAATAATAATTACAAAATACATTTTAAATGAATTAAGGAACTAAAATATCTTTATAAATCATTTAATAAATCATACCTGTTGATAGCCAGTGTAATTTCCATAGCCAGCATAATCACCAGCTTTCTGTGGGGCAGTTCCAGGCGGAGTAGGTCCAGTGGCTGGTGCTGCTCCAGCAGAACGAGAATACATATCATCTGATTATGTAAGAATTTAATTTTAAAAATAAATAATTTAAAAAACAAGAAAATAGCTTACTTTGAGGTCCTGGGCCAGTTTGTCCAGGAGGTCCAGTAGCTGCGGCAGGTCCGTTCTGAGGTATATTCCAATTCCAGTTATTTCCGTAACTTGACTGTGGAGGTGCTTGAGGAGCTATTATTACACAATAAAAATATAGAAAATAAATTTGACATTAAGTATTAATTTGTTTACCATATGAACCGTATCCAGGTTGTTGAGGTGGCGCATAATTAGAACCCCAAGTTGGAGGAGCCATTCCTTGACCTTGCGGTCCAGGTGGAGCTCCCCAACCTTGGAATCCACCTGGACCAGATGGAGTGCCATAACCAGGGTACTGAGATTGAGGAGTAGAACTCCATCCTCCCTGATATCCTTGCATCATATTTCCTGGACCCATAGGTCCCATTCCACTCATGGGACCTCCCATTTGTCCACCTGGGCCACCCATACCCATTCCCTAAAAACGTTACTTATTAGTAATTACTAAAAATAATTTAACTTTTTAGTGGATGCATACTACTTCTATATAAATTTTTGTGTCATAATTTGGTTAATTTGGTCTTTTTAAATTCCTAAATTTTTAAAGCAACAATGTAATTAAAGTTGAATAAAACAACAATTTCAGAAAAATATTAGTATAGAATTAACTTAACAATAGTATGACCCACTGAAAAACTATTAACAAATTATGTATAAATATATATATATGTATATGTGTAATTATTAAGTTTTTTAACTTACACCCATTGCTAAATGATTATTTTGATTCATGCCCCATTGATTGGCTCCAACATCATTCATTTTATTTGAATCTCTTGGTTCAGCTTTTTTAATTTCAACCTGAAACAAACCAACATTAAACATATATATATTAAATTATTACGACTTAAATAAATAATTTTTGATAGATCCTAACACATAAGTTATGAAAACATATTAAATTAAGATATTGATTTATACTTAGCAATAACTGAAAATATGTATAATAATTATTACTATAATAGGTATAAAACAGATTAATTCTAAAATAATTTTTAAATTGTATCACTGTTTATATATATTAAAACATTACCTTAAACTTATCTCTTAAAATATGATTACATTTTATAAAATTAATATAAAAATATTCATATGGGAATAATACATAATTATAATCATTTTTAAAATATGATAGTTTAATTTTGCCTTATTTATAATTTCACATTAAAAATTAAGTATAGAGTAGAATAAATAAAGACATACTTTATGTTATTAATATTGCATTAACCTAACTTTTTCACCGCTACATTTTTTTTTGCTATAATTTTAATAATATTTTAGCATTTCAATTTTGGAGAGTAAAATATAACTGAAACACGGAGATTTTTACATCCTTCTTCAAGTATAAGATAGTACACACATGTTTCATTAACTATATTACTTAACAGCTAGTTAAATGTAATTCAAGAAGAAATGGAACTCAGTTTTCTTATGCTATTTTACAAGAATAACTTCTTATTTTACAATAAAATATGACACTATCTAGAAAAATATTTGTTTTTAAAATTTGCTAAGACATACAGATAAATAAAAAATATTTTGATAGTTAACTCTAAATTTAACCTTGACTACAATTTTGTGTATGAATAATGGAATTTTGTTTTATTTTTGATAAATAGAAAAGTAAATATTAGAAAAAAAAACTATTAAATCACCTATAAACAACAAAACATAAATGGTTAAATTTTGATAATTTTAAATTTGTGAATGCCTATTATAAATAACTTAAAAATTAAAAACAATATTTGATAGCATGTTTTATGTTATCATTGTTCAATATTTTAAAATCTAACATATTAAAAAAAAATAATTTTTTACTGGTGATAGTTAAACAATTGTTGAAAATATAACATAATAGTAGAGGCAGTGAAAGGATTTAATATAATTTAGTTTAATTAATTCCAACATTAGTATTATATATAAATTGAAACAATTACGTATTAAAATAAAATAATATATTGATAAACCAAGGTAAAACAAGTAACTTTGAATTAAAAATTATATAGTAGTTTCTATTATTTTGTAAATAGAAAATCATATCAAAACAAAACACTATTACCTATAACTGTTGAGAATTAAAATATTTTTAATATTCAAAGTTACTAAACTTTACAATTAAGTATTGGATTTTATTTACTAAAATAATAATACCTGTTTGCCACTAAGGTTGACAAAATGCTCAGCTACACATCTATCAACAGCATCATCATCTTCAAACGACAAAAATCCAAACCCCTAAAAACACCATTGGTTATGTAATGGTGAAAATTCAATACCACATTGACACTGCTAATAAGCTATAATTTAGTGATTTCTACAATATATATTAAATTGAAATTAAGAGTAATTATCAAACTTTACTGTAATAGCAATAGATGCTATAAACATAAAATTACAGAATAATAAATTTAAAATAAATAACTAAAAAAAGGTAACATGCATAGTCTTAAAAACCTACACCAAATTAAAACTAGATTTGCTGAATCCATTTTGTGCTGTTAATTTTATTATTAATATAATTGGCCTATCATTCAAATTCATAAGAATATTGGATACATTTTAGTAGCTTTAATTGATTTCAATTGTAAAAGAAGTTAAGATTGAAATATTGTGTTGAATTTAATGTGATATCAAAATTAACAATCCAAAACTGATTCTTTATGATTAAAATATGCTAACATATGCAAGGAAACAATTGATATTTTTATTATATTAAAACTAACTATAAAATAAATTAAATGTTTTATAAATTAGTAGATAACACTAATATATAATGTTTAAAATACTTGAATAATGTGTAAATTAAATAATACTAAGGTATTGTAATTTATAAATAATTTAATTAAATTACTTATTAGAAATTAAAATGTGAGAAATACTGGCTATACAAGTAATAATAATTTTTATTTATATTATATTTAAAATTGTATGTTACCTATAACAAATTTTGAGTGAAAAACAGTAATAAAATATAAGTACCTTATAACATAACATGTATTAAAATTAATAAGACTGCAATTGGAGTTTAAGAATAAATCCTTAAATTAAATTCTTAGTTAAAACGGATTAACTAAGATACTGATAATAAGTTAATAAAATATCATAAAGTAGAAAATAACTAAAATTTTAAATTAGTAGCAGTGTTATATTACTAATTAAAGGTAACATAAATAGGCGTATAAACAAACATAAAAGATATAATCACATTTTTAACATCTTAATATAGTAATAAAATACTTGTACATTTTATTTTGAAAATAACAGATTGGTAAAATTAAAAAAAATGATTTCAATAAGTAATACTATTAAAAATACATTGTATAAAATACCAATGTAGACAAACCATTCTGTTAACTTATCCTAATCTTAGATGTATAGTAACTATAGATATAAATTATGTGATGTAAATATTGGTTTAATGAAATAGCTGATTGAAAAGTGTAAAATAAATACTCGTACACAAAATGTATACTCAATACAGTTAAATACTTAGTTCTAAGTCAAGATAATTAATTCCATTAAACAAAACAAATCTTAGTAAATAAATATAAAAATTTCAGAAATTTAAAATATCACTAAATACCTAAATTAATAAGTATATACACACACCATGACTTTATATTTTAGCTAGAAATCTTTAATTTCAATAAAATATAATTTACACTTAAATTCTAAAAATAATTTACCTATATCTATTTTGAAATCACATCTACCATGAAAATAACCCATATTATAATATATTACAAGATAACTTATGATTGAGTTATATAGTAGGAATACTAAATATATTCAACTATTGAAATTGTTATTAAATTGTTTTATGTTTGTTTAGAAACCTAAAAAAATATTTAAAAACTTAACTTAAAAAAGAAAAAAAATGTTAAATATTACCTCTTGATTTTTTCTTTTCTTGATCATACATGATAACAACTTCCATAACTTTTCCATATCGTGAAAAAAAAGTTCTTAAATCAGTTTCAGTAACATTAGAGGGCAAACCACCCAAAAAAACCTTAGGATAGCTTGAACTTCTCTTTGGTTTTTGCAAAGTTCTAGGATTGCACGGTTTTGGGTCAATCTATAAAAATAATTTTATAATTAAAAAATTTTTCAAATAACAGCTATTAAAATTAATGAAAACATTATCACTTACAGTGCGACCATCCAAAACATGCGGACCATTTTGCAATACTGCATTTACATTATTTGGATCAGCAAATGTGACAAAGCCAAAACCTCTTGACCGTCCACTTTCACTATTTTTCATAACAACACAATCAATCACTTCACCATATCGGTTGAAATATCTTTGAAGACTTTCTGTAGAAGTATAAAAACAAATTAATTACATATTTATTCAAACATAATACTGTACATATTTTCTAACTCATTAATACTTGAAAATAAATTAATAATATTAAGTTTTTATCACCAAAATGTTTATTTGGTGTTTCTTAAAATTAAAAAATATTTAGTCTAAAAATTGAGTTAGTTCATTTTATAATTTAAATCCATATAAGTTAGTACCTTGTTGAGTTTCCCAGCTGAGGCCTCCCACAAACAATTTTCTGCAATCATATCAAACAAATAAATATATTATGTTATAACTTATAACATACAAATAAATCAATATCTAATAATTAGAGACTGGAATTATATGCTCGTATATGCATTATAAATTTATATTATTTTAAACAACTACGAACATTGGAACATATAAAACAAATAACTATAACAAAATTACGAGCGCTGGATATTTCAATATTTAAATATATATAAAAACAAAATGCATCATTTTATGTTTTTAAAACAGTTTAAACAAATAAAATATAAAAAAAATTTGCGATGTTGCCAATAAATGAATGATACATTTTTACACAACTTTAAGAAGTAACATTGAAAGTAATTTAATTTGTCAGATAAGAGTTTATCAACATAGCATCGAACTAGAGAAAATAAAATTCTTTACTGTATTGACGGTAATTTTTTTCACATTAATATAATATAACAGTATTTAAAAATTACAATTTCCAAAATAAAAACACGAAACAACTTGATTTACTAAGATTATAAAAAATATGCCATTATATACAAAATTAAATTTTGTCTATGGAATTATTGGGTCTGAATTTCCTACATTTTAAACCCTTACATTCATACATTCAGTATGAACATGCAAATGCATAAAATTCCGGTCTTTATAGTAAATGAATAAATTATTGCCTAATACCTATTAATATATGATGACTTATTTATTATTACATATTTATATGAAATTTGTAATTAATAGAAGTACTTATGCCTTTATATTTTAGAATTAAATAACAAAAAATGTAAAAATTAATTCTTTAAACACTTTATTTAATTGTATATTTTTCAATAATAACAGGATTTTTAAATATAATTAAAGCCATTTAATTAAATATAAATGAGATTTTTTTGAGAAAATAGCAGGAATTTTTGTTGGAAAATTTTTTAATATTTGTCCACACTAATGTTGTTGTCACTTCTTCCAATCCTTTAAACACCCCTTAAACTCTATGTATGGGATCCTTTAACTCTTTCAGTGATGCGCTCATAATGTAATCTAGGTACTGCCAAACAACAGCTCTCAAGGTTTTCTTTCTTTTTGGAAATAGAAGTCACACAGAGCCATGTCTGGTGAATATAGAGGCAGGAGACATCATAACAATATAGTTTTTGGCCACAAAATTCATGAAATAAGTAGGGACAAGTGCATTATAATGACACAAAAGCCATAAATTGTTTTTCTACAAATCCAGGCATTTTTTCAAGTTGCTTCACAAAAATGGTATTGCACTTATAGGAAATACTCTATATTAATTGTTTGACCTTATGGCAAGAATTCATGATACACTATGCCATAAAATTGAAGAACACAGTGAGCATCATCTTCACATTTGACTGCACTTGTTGACCCATCTTGGAAACACAAAAACCACTCTTAAACTCTTATGTTACTCATAGTAGACTCACCATAGACATTTGTTAACATTTCACATACTTTATTTTTAATGTAAAATTTAATAAAAATTCGTTGATCTATTTCTTTTTAATAAACAAAAAGCACTGAGCTTATAAAAACACGTTTAATAAAAGTTATTTTAAATTGAAAAAACTAAGTAATTTAATTTAAATGTACTTATGTTCTTATTAGTTCTAACATCATGATACATAATTAGAATTTATCGATTTAACTTCAAATAAATAATTTATTAATAATTACTCTATTTTAATTCATAAATAACATAATATTTGGTACTTATTGGTTATCGCGACTACCTAGCAAGACATATTGAATTGTGGTTATTATTACCACCCTATGCAAATTTTTCTATTTTTTTTTTTTTTTTGATTTTACTTATGTATATTATTTAAGAACAATGGTGCAATTAGAATTTGTCGTTCAGACTTAGTTTTGAAATTAACAACTTGGGTTTTTTTTTTACACATTCGCGCATCATTCTAGTTGATTGCGCCTATTAAGAACATTAATGTTTTATTTTTTCACTATAAAATATGAGTAATATAAGTATTTATTGTAGTGACTCTCTTCGCCAGTTGACTCCGATCACTAGATTTGAAGTCCTACAGACCTCTCGTTTGATAGAGGCTTGTCTCCCAAACCCCTAGGACTAAAATAGTCAACCTGTCAGGGGGAGAAAAATAAACCTAACCCCTTCATGGTTACGGGGGAGAGCATACCTGCCCTACGAGCAGCTAGTTGACCTAACAAGTAAACCTAACCTTGTTAGTTCAAATAAAACAAGTATAAGAGAGTAGATCATTTAGGCAAGGGTTTATTCAATTAAATTGTAATAATATGACACTACAATAATCTAACACTAATTCATTGGCAAATGCCAAGCAGAACATCATGTTACTATCCAAAAGAAATCCCCATACCAATACTAATAATAACCATTATTTAATACATCTCGCTAATCGATAAATACCTAATATTTTAATAGCTTTCATTTAAGTAACTTTAAATAGAGAATAAAAGATGATCAATCATAGTAGAGGTTCTCATTTAAAAAAAAATTATGTTGTGCTATACTATGCACATAATTTAAAAAAATCACTTAATAGAAATTGATGGAAAGTAGTTAAGTTCCACAAACTAAATTAAGAAATATAAATAAGATACTAAATTATGGTATCCCGTGTTTCCAAGGAGTTCCGGTGTAAGCTAATTATATTATAATCCCATAAATCAAAACATTTTTAAAAAGGATAGGGAGAATTAAATTAAGCAATATAAATAAATGATTTATATTTTACTACTACAATAAATCTATGATTTATCTTTAACTTAACCTAAGTAAATAACATTTTTTGTTTACCAAGTATATTTAATACCATAGGTAGTTATATTTTTTATATAAAGTTTAATATCAAGGCACTTGTTTTTAGTATTTTACTGTACTACCTAGGTATACTAAGTTAATACTTTTTTAAATTTATCTTTATTAACCATTTTGTGAAAGTATAGATTAGTATAAATAAAAAGTTTTAAATGTAATACAAGAATTTTTTTTAAAATACAAGTAACCGTGACAACCACATGTCAATAAAACATTTTAAATTAGGTTAAATTAGTACATAAAAGAAATTATACTAGAAACCAAGTATTTATTTAGAACTTTGATTTAATTTTTTGATGCTAGATGCATTTTATTATACATGGAAAGGGCCAAGAACTGCTAAAACTAAAAAATAAAAATGTTAAGCCCGTAATTTATGGGCATATTTGAAATTTAATTTCTAATAAAATTGTGAATTATAAAGACAAATAACACACTATAAATAAGAACTAGATTATTTAATTTATTAAGTACTTTTAAAGTAGTATTTATATTTTATTAATTTTAATACTAGAAAATTATACTTGATAAATGGAAATTTATTATAGATTTGTTCTTACAAAAATTGAAGAACACTGGCATAATCTCTTAAAATAATTTGTATAGTCATACCGTTATTAATTTAAAGCAGAAAATCAATATTTGCCAGGTAATTCAAATTGGCCATTTGAATATAAAATTTAAAAGGTATCTACATAAAACACCTATTTATCATTAGATACACTACAGTTAAGATTAAAATTTTATACTTATGTTATACTGGTAAATATTTAATTAAGAAATTAAGTATAATAACTAATAAGCTTTCAAATTCTAAGATAAAATATAAAAATATTTCCAACCATCTTTTAGAAAAATGTACAACATTAAAAACATAAATACCAACAAAAATTATATTATATACCTCTAGACCAATAAGGTAGTTAATTAACAATTAATTTAAGTTAGTGTATTTTAAAGATATATTAATACCTAACGAAAGACCAATAATAATCATGTTTAATGATTGTTTATGCAATCATACATAAGTATCATGACTTTAGACATAAAACAAAAAATAGAAAAATTAACAACTCTGAAGAACAAAATCATAAGTGAGTAAGTATCATCGAATTGCCAGTGTAAGGAATTGTTAATAGCCAATTAACACCTGTTTTAGCAAAAAAAAAAAACGAAAAATTACTAAAACCGCGTTATTTAATTTAAGAGGCGGCACCCGTTTATAATAGTGCCGGTACGAAAAAACAAAATGCTCAGAGAACAGTATGGGTGGAATTATTGCGTGGGTGGTAAACAATAAACGCATAATCCTCAGATTATGACAATAATAGGCAGTGGAAAACAACGATAGCCCATCAAACTCACCCTTGTTCGTCTTCCTCTAAATCAGATTTTCCTCTCATCTTGTAGCGTTCTATATTATATTGTATATATAAAAATATAAAATCAAATGAGTATAAAAAAAAAAAAAAAAAACTATAAAAGTAAACAAACGGTTGTCAAAGACGTGCAATAATATGAAAATGTACAAAATTTATAACGACACACTAAAGTCTAATAATCGTCCGGTTGTCGGACATTTAGCATATCGAATAGACACAAAAACACGACACGTCCGACGCAAAATGGCGTCCGCATTTTTTCTCTCTCCTAAAATTTCGGCATTTCACGATACGCGGCGTTGTCGCATTCACGTCAACCGATTGATCGTTTATCCAACGTCTTTGGGCGGACCCGGCGCCGATTACTATTTTGGATTAAAAAAATGTCCGTCTGACAGAGGTGATTGTCAGCACTTCGGACCGAAAATCTCCGAGTCTGTGAATAATATTTATTTGACAGATTTCCGACGGATTCGATATTATAATATTATCGACGTACCGCCGTTTGACATGAATATTATTTCGTAATTTCGTATGTGATAGGTACAACATATGCCGGGAAATTTAAAGCGTCCGTGCCGGCCGCCCGATAAACGTGATAAACTCGCGCGTCACCCATGAATATGGCAACGTCGCGATCTCGCGCAACACGCTCTATCGGCGGCTTCGTGTAAACGCGCACCGACTATAGACGTTAAGCAAGAAAAATATACAACAGGCAGACACTCGGCCACACTACACATACAATATTATGTTATAATTATATATTTATATGCGCATGTGTGTGTGTGTTGTGTGTGTGTTCATATCGTGCCTGCCATTTTTTTTGTTGGCCTTTTCCGGCTCTACTGCGTGTTACAGTGCAAGTAAAACGTTCGCAGCATTCACTGTTTTTATCGTATCAACAATATAGAGACGAACCAGGGTCACTCTCTACTCTCTAGTCACTACTCACTCCATCAAAATCAAACCGTCAACACAAGACGCAACACGGACGACGGACGCCACCGCGAAGACGAAGAGACAACGTGCGTGTTCACGTTAGGTCACCCGCACCGCCACCATACGTCATACGCGTTCGATTCGCCGATTGCCGGCGATGTCTTCGAACAACGTCGAATTGATCGACGACGACGACTCTGGGTAAATGTCTTTTTCGTAATTTGGTATTGTTTAAATTTTTATGGGTGTATGAGACATTTGGCGGTTACTGCGGCAGAATCGACGATAGTTTGTCGGGTCAGTAGTCGATGCAAAGCCCCGTTAAATGACTTCAGTTGTATTTGTGTCGCAAGTTTGGTTCACTTGCGCGGGAAAACTGAATTCACCGCGGAGTCGTTAATACTGTAGGACAATAGATCCCTGTCAAAAACCAACAGAAGGCCACCTCGCGTTTAACCTCTGTTTGGTTGTTTAAACCTTTCGTTTTCTGGTTAAGAAAATTTAATTACTGTGTTCATCAATCAAACTTTGTGATACTATACACAATACACACGGCTATTAACTACAATTTTTGAAAAATTGAAGTTGTACATTATAGTTAAGTTTGTACACACATATTTTACCTGGTATTATAATTAATCACGGGTTTTCTCCTATTTCAAATTTACTCTAACTCAAGATATGTAAATGAATAGCAAAAGCTTGATTATTTTGTTAGAAATCATTATCAAATTATTTTCTTCCAATTGATTTTAATTTCTTTATTGTATTTGTAATTGTTGTTTTGTTTTGGTTCATATAAACCATAAAAATCTATTAGTATATGGTAAACTATTGCTAACTATTTAATGCATATATTTAGTAAGCTTGATTTATCTTTTATTAAAACCAAATATACTCTAAAAATCACTAAAAACATTATTTATCAATAAGCTTTTTCTACCTATCTAATGACCATGTATGTATGTTCATTATAATTTATACTATGAATGAAATTAATTCCTGTCTTCTGTAAATATGTATTTGTCAATAATGATAGTAAAATGTCAGTTTTTGTTTTTCTGTCATAAAACTGATAATCTCTGTTTACATTAATTTAATCTGATGAATTTTTAAAGTTTTAATTAAGTTTATTTTAAAACTAAGAATGTACTTAATAGTTATGAAATATTAATTCATTATTTTAATACGGAATACATAATTACATTTGTAGTTATAGGCTTAAGTATATTAGAAATATTTTAAAATTATATATTTTTTTAGTCAAAATCAAAATCATACTGCATTAATCAAGAGGTGTTTTCATAAATTTTATTTCTTTATCATAATATTATTTTTTCTTTACAATATTTTAAGTCAAGTCTTGAAATTTTAACTTATGAAAACCCTCTTTGAATCATCTAAATTAAAATCCCATTCTCCTCATTTGGTTATAAAAACCATTTTAGAATTATGTACACTGAAGAACCAAAATATAAGCGTATGCGTACAGAAGATGATGAGTCCCGTAAAATGAGTTTAACCAAAAAGTCATTCAACCCAAACTGGTTGAAGTTTAGCATGTTCAAAGATTGGCTGATGCCACATAAACTGCCAGATAAAGCTATATGCAAGGTTTGTCATTGTGTATTGGTTGCTGGAAAAAGTGAGCTTGAAAAACATTTAGCTACACGTAAACATGAAAGAAACATGGAAAAAATCAATGGTTCTCCTGCTGAACAAGATGATATTGAGACATATACAATAGTTTCAGGTAGAGTATCCTACTTGGTAATTGATAGGAAACTGTGTGTGCTAAACTGTCCTTCAACATGCGTAATGACTTAGATTTTCAATTAATTGATGGTATTATTAAATGGGTTGGATTCTTTCAAAATAACTAGCTTAAAAAAAATGTGTCCTAATTTTCTTTATTTCTACTTAAATCTAACTATCATGAATATATTTAGCAAATAATTTATGAACAGTATATGTATATAAATAGGTTGGAGGCTGAATGGTTCTATATTATGTGATGAGATTAATATATTTTGTTTGATATATAATATAGGTAAATATTATTACTAAAAATGAATATTTTGGTTTAGTTTTGTCTTTTAATGATAGGGTTTTCTTTGTACTATGCTTGTCTTTTTTTTTTTTTTTTTTGTAGGTTTATTTAGATTAAAACATTATCTTACATATATACCTAATTAACTACAATTTAAATATTATTTCTTTTATTCTTTTAAATAAATTTTCTCATTTGAGAATTCAAAATGGATATTGCTATCAAATAAGATAACTGAATCGGTTAAAATACAAATTTAGGTAATCTATAATTCTAATATAATAATCTATAATAATAGATTTGAATTCAATGATAAGTCATTGCATTGGAAAAATTATTCTGAGGAAAGTTAAAGCCTACATTACTAAGTATATTATACTTTATATTTATTTTATATTGCTATTTAATTAAAATGCTATAGTTTAAACTATAAATAGGAGATAGCTCGCAGCCATTTATTTTAGAATAGTTTATTATATAATCTATGTTAAAACTAATCTAAATGTTTTGAATCGTAACTATTTCAACCATCATTAAATATCTAATTTTGTTAAGATTTGAACTTGAATTGTCATTTTTAAAAAATGTACTGTTCGTGTTTTTTAGATTTACAAAATCCAATTATAAATTATTATAATAAACCTAATATTAAATTGTTCAAGCTTTAGCTCTAAGAGTTTAACATTTTGTAAATTTTAAACATTTATGACAAAAATATTATTTATATATATATATATATATATATATATATATATTAATATTTATCTATTGGAATATAAACCACTTATGAAGGACTTTCTATTACCTTATAAAACTTTTTTACCTAAAAAACAAATGTTGTATTGTACATAACTAGAGATATAATTTGAATAATCAAAAGACCAAAATATTTTTAAATTTATTTTGATTAGTAAACCCTAATGTTATAAATATTGGTATACCAATTAAATTTAATTTGGTATTGGAATTCCCCCTCAAAATTGATAATTTAAGTAGTCTATCTACTAAAATTTAAGTGTCATCATAGTAAAAGTCAAGCCATTGTAAATCCTCTACTCTGCTCAATTTAAAAATTATAAATTTGATTACAATTTCTAGATTTATCTATTGTTTTTATATTTATTGTCTTTTACTTTTTAGATTTTTACAAGATTAAGGTGTCTGTCAGATTGTATAATTATTATACCTTGATAAATTTAAGTTATTTTTTATTAAAGTCTTACTTGTAAATTTGATTCAGTTATTATCGTTTAATGAATGTGAACAGTTATTTAATAATGGGAAATATAAAATCATAGGCTTCTTAATTAGTTTATATGTTATTATTTTTTGCAGCAGATGAAATTCAGTAACCCGCAGCACTTAGGGAATTTCAAGGTATCTGAAGCAGAAAGACGACAAAATACATTTTAATATTAGCATAACATTGTTTGAATATACGCTATTTCAATGTCTAACAACCAACAACACGAAGAATATACAATTTTAACTACAGGTTCAAACAACCGAGGGCAAATGTCTCAACCTCATCTTACATTTACGCCACCTACTCAAGTGTTTCGAAGTGAATGGCAACGTTTTCCAGAATTTCATGCTTGGTTACGGCCTATTGATGGAGATGTAACAAAAGCTTGGTGTATTGCATGTGAAAGAATATTTCGTGCAGATTTAAAGTCTTTAAGAGTACATGGTGTAAGCAAAGCACATGTGCGTATGGTGAGAGTTCGTTGTCCTAATGCAGATAACAATCCTGTTCCACCAATTGAATATAATGTGGTGACTGACAAGAAAGGTACTTATGGTATAGCTGTAGTAACTAATAAGGAAGATAAATCATCACTTGCATCGTCAAGAGCATTATATATGAATCAAACTAATCCTACTGAGGAAATAATTACATCTGAAATGGCAGCTCAATCACAACGAGACAAATATGTTGTGGTATCATTACCTAACGAAGATGAGGATGACAATGAAGGTCCACAAGCTTCTAGCTCAAATACCCAATACATACAAAAAGAAGTAAATGTAATCGATGAGACTGGTAATTTGGTGTCTGTGGTTACTGAACATCATGTACAAAAAACTAAAGGTAAAATTTAGGTGTCCAGGTCAGAGTTGCAATAATAGTTTTTTATTAGGAAAAAAGTGTTTGGTTTTGGTATTTTTAATGTTGAATATTAAATTCAAATATTATTTGCTCTCATTTTGCCAAATAAACAAAATTTTAATAAGGTACATTTAAAATAGGTTATTGAAGTAATAGGTTTA